CAGCTACTAGGAAGAACATTAACTCTACCTCAGCTGAAACCAGGACACACACACAGAACAAGGGCCGAGGAAACTTCTCTAAGAACAGTGTATTTTTACCCCAATGCACAAGATCTCCCAAGCATGAACACCTTGGCTGAGATCTCAGGAGACCTGTGGGGTGGAGAAATGCAGAAAAAGGATGGAGCTAAGCAGTAACAACACTGCTGCGTGCAAGCTGGTCCTCGCACCAGTCACAGGACCCAGCTTCACTTCCCAGGCCAGGCAGCTAGCCCAGGGATCACTGCACAATAAGGGGACATTCCCATCTTTTGGGGACTTCCACAGCACTTTGCTGAATCTGTGTCACTTCACCTATGTTGGAGCACAGAGGGCTAAATAAGAAAAGGTGTCTGTTCTCCACAGGCAATCGCACATATTCCCTGTAGATAAACCTTTTAAAATCAGACTACACGAGTATTTGGACAGAGTTATCTGTGTTGCTGTGGGACTTTCACAGGGCCGCTGCCTCCTATGGCCATGGTCCTGACCAGACAGCAGGTACCCCTTCATTTCAGTCCTTCTTTTTCCATTATTACCATCACAATTCTCAGTTGAAAACCCCAATTCAAAGCAAGATACAAAATTCTGCTTTTATCACAGCTAGGCATGCGCCTGAGGCATCAGGATGATTTCTCAGATCTCTTTTGCACCGTTTTTAGCGTGGCAAAAGGATCCTCTTGTCCTTAACACGCTGGGTCAGCCCTCAGTTACGCTGCAAGTATAATGCAACAGTCTGCTCCCATTGCAGCATGACCACATCACAAACTGTTAGGAAAGTAATCTATAGCCTGGCAATACAACCATAAATATTTCCGCCAGCCGTCTTACAAAATGGATGGCCATTGAATAGCTATGTGTGTATTTACTATTAACAGATACAATTTCACCTATTGCTTGGTTAGCTGGTTCAGCAATTGTGGTAGGATTCAGGAATCCTGATTGTGCTACCATATGATTAAAAAAAAAAATATTAACCAGGTGATGTTTAGACACCTGCAGCACGCCTGAACTGGGTTGGGCTTTCTTTCCAGGACACTGAGGCTCTCTCAAGCTGAACATGCTGAAATATTTCCTTATATCTCAGTAAATGTGTCTTCCTCATCGCATTCCCCCTGCCAAATCCTTTAAATCAACATTTTAAAAATCTCTGAGCGAGCTTTGCAACATAAGACTGCATTTTAAAGTAAGCAACTCTGAACAGATCTGTGGAATCCGTACTCTGAGATATTTGAAATTTTGGGCAATCTGACAATTTGGTATTAGCTTAGCAGCCTTGGGAGAGACATTGTCTAATAAAAAGATATTGGACAAACTCCAGTTAATTTTTAATCCTGAAAGTTTTCCAAAATCTTGCTTTTAATATTGCTGGCAAGGTATCCCAAGGAGTAGACACATAAATCAATGCATCAGCTCTCCATGTGCTGCTGAAATACCATTTGCTACATTTCACCCTGCCTTAGCGGATGTATCAGGGGAGATTCTCGGGAATGCAGCATGTGAGCTGAACCCTGCACCAACAAGCACGTGGCGATGGGGACATCCTTCTCTCAGCTTGCTGAGAAAGGAGCAAGGAGGGGGGGACCGTCTCCCCTTCTTTCTACTTGCCAGCTTCCTTAAAGCTGCACTTGTATGAAAATTAACTTCCCCACAAGCAAAAAGGAAAGCAGAAAATCCCCAAGTATTTTGAAAATTTTCTATTCAGATCCTTTTCGTTGTTATTTTCTAGCATTTGCGGTCATTGAAGGGATTCCTTAGAGAGTGTTTCTGGGTGAATCCAAATAAACTTTCTTCTCTTGTACTATTTCTTTCTACAACCTACATTTTCCCCTTATGATCCCTTATTATTTGGTGTCAATGGCCCATAATAGTGGCTCAGCATGGTCCCTTATACAAAAAGCTTCCAATTTAGAAGAAAGGAAGTATCATGGCACGCCACAGAGGAAGAAACTCAAGTTTGCACAGCACAGACCTTGAGCCTACTCACTGCTGGTGCTGCAGAGGGGTAGGAGGTCACCATCCACCCACCACCCAGCTAAGGTTACTGTTCATCACCTCATAGTGATGGCCGTCACTCCCTGCCCCAGAGATGCCATCCCTTTGATGGAACTGTGCATCGGGCATCCGGCAAAGGGAGACTGAATCAGATGCCATTTCCTCGTGATGGGAAAACGCCAGGCAGCCAAGAACAGACAGTGCCAGCGACGAGCATCTCTCCTCCCAAAGACAGAAAATGGTCAGAGCAACAGAGCTACACAAAGGAGAGATGTGTTTCCAAACAATTTTTGGTTCACTGGGGGATCCACCTCACTCATAGATTCAGCCAGGGGCATGGAGCTGGCAGTCAAGATGGAGGTGGGGGGGAAGATACTTTGCAAGATTTGGCTCTGACTGAATAGTGGACGGTGGGCTCAGAAACAGAGACTCCTCTCTTGGGCTTTGTCTTAGGAGAACAGTCACGGGAGTCACACAGTAGGGCATTGACCTGTTGCCAGGGCCAAGTGATGGGGAAGACAAGGATGTCCCTTTGGGCACCCCTCCACCTTCTCTCCTGTCCATCTCTTGGCCAGCTTCACCAGGCCTGTGGAGGCACTGGGCATGCAAGGAGGGAACGGATGCTCCAAGCCCCATGGTGGAAAAGATCCCAAGGGAAGAAGAGAGGGAGGTAGAGCCACCCATCTCCCCACCAGGATCATCTCCAGCCTGCACCCGAGCTCTCACCTGATCAGCTCCCGGAGGATGTCTGCCCGGCCCACGCGTGCCGCATGGTAGACAGGGGTGCTGCGGTGGTGCCGGCTGCCGTTGGGGTCAGCCCCAGCTTCCAGGAGGATCTTGGCACACTCAAGGTGCCCGTTGACCACGGCCACGTAGAGGGCGGTCTGCCCCTTCACATCCACCAAGTCAATCTCAGCCCCTTTGCGCAGGAGGAAGTCGACGCAGGGGCCGTGGCCGGCGGTGGCGGCGATGCGCAGTGGCGTGCAGGGCAGCCAGCCGCAGCACCACACCGACTTCTCGTTGATCCGGCTGGCATCAGAGGGGAGAAGTGTTGGGTCAGAGACGCCCTCCTGCCGCCTTGCACCATCCCACCTCCCCCAGCCCTGGAGGAGGATGCTGGAAGAGCCCAGCCAGCCCCCTTGAAGTTTTCCTCTCCATTTTTGGGACTTTACAGCAGCCCTGAAAAGCTCCTGCCAATAACCTGACTAAGTGCTGCATATAAGTAGCCAGAGACTATGGCATGTACCGGAGTACTGCCTGGAAGATGGGCTTTATCGCAGCTCTGCTGTGTCAGGAGCTGCACATATGCACAGTGAGGGACAAACCCTGCCTCAAAGCTCAAAAATACCAACTAAAAAAAAAATACTCCCTTTTTACAGGGAGATGTCCCAAATCAGAAGTGACCAAGCTGGGGACCGCAACCGTTTAATTCAAGCTGCTCCAAAAGGGGTAGAAGGTTGTCAAAGCAGCAGGGAAACAGCAAGAGGAGGGGAGCAATGTACGGAAACGCAGGCGTACATCCGTATCATACCGCTGGCAACATCCACACTCAGCCAGGCACCATGGGATGACATAAACAAAAATTCAGGGAATTCAGCCCTCCCAGCAAGGAGTAAGCTTGGGACGCGTGGCCATCCTGCACTGAACAGCATAAGTAGGCCATTAGCATCCCTGTTGGATGGCTATACTGGCATAAGAGCCTCTTCCAATTTATAGAAGAGATGGCTCTGGCTGGCGGCTGCTTAGATCCCCTCTGCAATCACCTGTATTAGCTGCCATGCTCATCCAGATCTCAGGTTAGCCCTACAAATCTCATAAACTTCCAGACCTCACTCCCAAATTCTCTGCAAATCACTGCGGGTACCATTTTAGCAGGAACACACAAAGAGGAAGGGATTTCTTTAAGGTGAATGTAGGCTGGCGAAAGTGCTCTTTAACCAGCGCAGCAGTGGATTTGCTCTTCTAGCTCTCTCCATGCAGGCCCACGTCACTGGTAGAGGACAAAGCAGGTTTTATACAGTGCATTTACAGAGTTTGCTAGGAGAGCAATGCCACAATTTTTTTTTCAACCATGTTTTAGGAAGAGGAGTAGTATAAACCCCACATCAAGCCCTCAGCTGTCAAGTCTTATGCTAAAAGTGCTCCCTTTAACCTTGGAGGTTTGGGGATCTCCACCCCATACCTACCCCCAAATTCAAAGAAGTCACTTCTTGGTTCACTTCACCACCTGTGTGACGGTGCTGCAGGTCCAGCCCTCCTCCTCCCACCAAACTTTGCTTTTTCCTGCAAGGAGGGACGCCTGGCCCTGCTGCCACAGGGTTCCCACACAGCATGGGACAAAAATAAGGCAAAAATCTCAGACCAAGGGACCTGAGAGCCCCAGCTGCCCAGGTGGCAGAAAGAGGGGCTGGCTCATTTTCATTTTTGCTGAAAGGACACTTTTTTGGAGGCTGGGAGACATTTTGCACTCTAAGCAGTTTTCTCCATGGTGCAGGAAAATTAATTAACTATCCCCACAGTCACAGACTTAGCACTGGGCAGATTTTGTAACATAGGGTGTTTCAGGTTTATATTCGATTGTAATCCCTTTTGTATGTTTTTCCCATTATACGTAGGCTCCTATTTTCATGGTATTACATTTCCACCCTGATCCGAAAAGAACTCGTGCGTGGCCGCCGCACGCTCGTGAACTGGCTTGAGATTTGCCTTCTGGGAGACCACGGGGGATGATTTCGGGGGCGAGCGGAGCATCCTCCCAACCTGACACCTCTCCTGTGAAAACCGGAGCGGGATGGGGTCTCCAAACGGAGCAGGCTGTGGGGAGATGGGTGTGGGGTGAGCAGTCCCAGGGAGTCATTAGCCAAAATCGTTTGAGCGGGACCTCGCACCCTTGTCCCCGTGAGGGGACAGGGCGGGTGAGGGTGCGGGCAGGGCGGGGTGCGCGAAGCCCCCCTCACCTTTGGAAGCTCTCCTCTTGCAGCAAGCTCTTGAGGGTGGGCAGGTCCCCCACGTAGGCCGCGTCGTGCAGCCGGGTGTCCTCGCAGTGCTCGAT